AAACGCCACAAATACCAGTGTTGTTTACGGATGACTAAAAAAAGAGAGCAAAATTTCGAAACAAAAACTGCGAGGATAAGATAATGGGCAGAAAGCAGGAAACGCTGTTATTTGCAGTAGATTCGAAGCTTCCAAGGGGCACAGGGGCTTCCAAAACCTTAGAAAAGGTGGGTTCCCTATGGAGACGCTTAGATCTATCTATATATAATATCTATACACATAAAAAATATATATATATATACACACATATATATATATATACATGTGTGTATAACTCTACCGGAGAGTGTCAGAAAAGAGCGGTTAAGCGCATCGCGAACTGGCTGTGACATGCGGCCGCTGCCTGCCAGACTTTGGTCCGGTGAACTGCAAAGACCAGCACAAGCCCCCGTCATCTCGTGGTAGCTGCCTCGTGGGCAACCCCCTGCTGCTTGGGCTGTGGACCCTGGCGGATGGAAACCTGCTGCAGAAGTTGTTTGTTGCATCCCTGCTTCCCGCGCTGCAGCGGAACGAGCAGACCCCGCCGTGTTGAAGCCATGCGCCAGCATCAATAGCCTCAAATTCCAGACTTACGACGACAATCTGCAAAGGAGTAACAGCCTTTTGCATTGAACGTCACCCGCTGCGTGTCGGCATGCTTGGGTAGATGTTGCACCGGAGAAGCGGTAGTCTGTGCGTGCTGGTTCTTAAGAAACAACTTCGCATCCCTTGAATCGTCAGCATGATCTTAGTCTTAGCCGCCTTCGAACTGAAAGAGTTTAATAAAGTTTGTGTGCGACGGGCACTGCGAATCATCATTTGAGGTAGCGACGAGCTCCTGAGCAAGCCCTCCAACCAGGGTCTCAACCTTCGCACATTGAATGTCGGGGTGCAGTCTGCTGCAACTTTGAGATCTGCATGGTGGCGAATGCTGCAGGTGTTCGACGCTTCCCGAGATGACGACTCCAAAGGTACCTGTAGCCCGGTCAAAGTTCGCAAGACCTGGAAAATTGTCAAGATGATTTGCAACACGGAAACGCAGCTCTGGCCGAATTTGCAAATCATGAATCCGATGCATCACACACAGCATGTCGCATTGAACGGCACGAAGGTCGGCATTGCGGACAAGATGATGGGACCCTCTCAGTAAGGAACATAATCTTAAAAAAAAACACGACGTACCTCTCCACCACCTACAGGAATGCAGTCGGATCTTGCAACGACAGATGCCGCCTCGACACTCGTGTGTAGCACCGTGCTCCTGACATGTCAACCAGAGCTCCATCCGTGTTTCACACAAGGCTTGCCCTTGGGTCGGCACACGTTGGCTCGGGCAAAAGCCAGTGGATGGGCCTGCAAGCACGCGAAACTCAAATGTCATGTCCGAACTCGGCTGCTTGCTTGCAATGACCCTGGCTGACATCACAGGCAGGTCAGCATGCTTAGCGTGCTGGCATGAAAAAGGAGTGCCCACCACTTTAAGACCGACTTCAGGTTCTTCAAGAAGAAGGGACCTGCATGTTTTGTAGAACGGCAGCGAAACCACTCACATGTCTCGTAGCAATGAGCATTTGCGAAGCAACATGTTTCATCTAGGCAGTCTGGATCTCAGCAGCTGTAACCAACTTCCCTCAAATTAAACTTCACATGCTCCGCTGCATGGTGCGGATGACTCTGTCGTGCCGCAGCAGTTCCGAACCGACCCGCATGGCCGGAAAATCGCTGTCGTTGCAGCCGAAATCCAGCACACATCTCTCGGACTTCACGAAGAGCGAGAATCAAACCAAGACTGCCAATGCCAAGTACCAAGGCCACAAATTCTCCACATTTCATCATCTGAAAGGAAGACAGCTTGGAAGAGAGTGCCCGGAACTGAGCCGCGGAAGCCGAAGTACTTGTAGCAAACTGCGCTGCTGATGCCTCCGACGGATCTCGAGAAAAAGTTCATCAGGCCGAAAGCACCCGCCAGGGCGCTGGCATCACCTGCATCCATCTGGAAGGGGGTCTGTACTTCTCCTTCTGGTTAGCCAGTCTGCGCCGCACGTCACATCTGCGTCTCTTCTCGTCCGTCTCCTCCTGCTCCTCTTCGCGAAGGAAGTCGTACGGCGGTGTCTGCTCAATGGAGTGCTTGATGCTCACCAATTTCCGGACATTGCGGCCCCTGAGCCACGCGCAGAGCTTGTTCGGCAAAGGACGGACTCTGTCTGCACCAGGCCCCGGGATTTTCATCGACGGGCTGCAGAAGGTGCCAGACAGGTAGTCGTAGGGCCTCCAAGCGTCACTGATCTCGGGCCTCTTCTCCTCTGCGATGTTCTGTCTCCAACGGTAGATGCTATCATCCGACTCCTCGAGGCGCACGCGAAGGTAGGGCCCAGGGACATCCTTGTCGCACTGCTCAGGGTCCATCTCTCCGAACTCGATGTAGCTTGGAGTGCGGCCCAGATATCGTGGGCAGGCAGCGACGTAATCACGGGCGGTCTCCTCCAGTCCCTTATACTTGTCAGCGCCACCCAGGTCCTCGTTGGATAGGGCGATGAAGCACTCCCACAGCCGCAGAACCGAGAAGACGTCACTCTCCAGTTTGTGGGCTCCCATAAGTGCATAGAACATCTTACAGACCTCCCTGGTGGTTTCGATCTTCTTCCTGGTGCCCAGATCGATCAGCCCGGGCTTGATGAGCAGGTCTGCCATGCGCTGTGGATCGCGATGGTCTAAGTACTCCTCCACTTTGCGGTTCAAGCTCTCCCGCGTCTGGCTTGGGTCTCGCGCAGATTCTGCCACTGCTGCCGCCAGCCGCAGAGCGTTCTTCCCCACCATTGCCATGCACAGCACATCATGCGCAAACTCCTCCTTCTGGGAGGCGTCCGGTTCATCAAAGATCTTCTCCAGCTCTAGGGGGTTGGGAGCCGGCTCGACCGGCGCTTTTGTAGCGACGAGCCCCCAGAAGGCTTTCCGATCCATCTGTCGGTGCAGCTCTGGAAGCCAGTCTGGCGGATCGGAAGGCGGCTCCTTCATGGTTACGTAGTCGATCGCTCTGTCCCGCATCTTTACGTACAAGAGCTCGTCCAGTTGTTGTGCTGGTCGCCTTCCCGGCAGAGGGCTTGGTGATGGAACTTCAGCACGTTGTCCAACTCCTCCGGCTTCCAGTCGATCTTCTCGGAGTCACTGCTGACCTCCAAGCGTAGCTTCACATCGCTGATGCAGAGCTGATAGTTGTGTTCTGCGGGCGACGTAGTCAGAAGACCCCATGTGCCCTCCTCATCTTCCACCCCCACGACGAAGAGACTGACAGCAGCCTCAGGCCATCGAAGCTGAAAGCGCTCTCGAGGGTCTTTCAGCAGAGTCGGACGCACCCAGTAGCCTCCTTTGCCCGCGAGGTTCAGCTTTTGGTTATCTTTCGACCCTTGGCGAATCACGTCCGGCGGATCAACCGTCTGCTTCAGCTTCTCCAGCACCCTCTCGGCGATGCGTTCTTTGGCATCATCGACGTCGGCCGACAGCTCCTCGAACTCCGCTCGAAGAGCCTTGGTCGCCTTAAAAAAGCCGACGAGCACTTCCCCCCGTGCTGCTCTTGCACCTGGAAAAGCTTGTCCGGCTTGTCTGAGGAGTAGCGGTAGTTGTAGATGCTGTACGAGTCGTGGGGAAGCTTGCTGATGTACTGCCGTAACTTGGTGAGGGAGTCGTTAGTGGGTCCGGGGGTCCTTTGCAGTCGATCAGCTCACCATCCTCTTTGGGGAACAATAACTCAGACCACTCTTTCCTTTGTCCTTCAGGTAGGCTGGTCGAATTGAGAAGTGTGTAGGAGGGAAGAACTGCTCCTGGCATGTTGTCATGCTGGTCCCAGACGTTCAGGCTCAACCACCCGATCGGGTCGATCTTGTGAAGACGGGTGTCCGATAGGACGGATGATGAGAGCTTATGGCCGACCTTATAGACACGGGGAATCGATGCGGGAGACGAAAACAGTCATGCAGGAGCGAGTCACGGCGTGGCCTATTTTTTGCCGCGGAGCTTCTCCCCGAAGCTCTTCTCGTAGAGTGCTCGACTTGGGCGAGGAGGCCTCGGAAAATTGAGCTCAAATCAAACCCAAAAAAAGGGGCCTTAGGCCTCCGTTGACAAAGCGTGGCCGCGCCTGCCAGGTCCCTCTGACTCTGTCCCCCCTGCTGCGGAGGTCCTGGTCACGGGCTCAGAGGGCCTCACAAAATTCTAGGCCTAGACATGGCATGAAACTCGTTGATTCTGCTTTGCAAAACATCTCGTTCTGCCAAAAGTAGATGAGAAGTGTCTCATGATGTTCTGCAACTCCCCTGCATTCCCCGGCTCTCGAAACTGAGACGTTGAATGAAGACTTGTCTCGTAGGGCTGTCTGAAGTCTGAAGCATGAAAGCATTGCAAACGCAGGGTTACAGAATGAAGCAATCAAGAGGGTGCAAAGCCCTCAGTGCCAGCTCGCCTTTTGCCTTCTGAGGCGTTTCCTCATCCCCTGTGCTTCGAATGGGCAGCACGGCTGCGTTATCTGGCAGTCCTGGCGCCCAGGAGCCAAAGTACAGAGGCATGGCCGGCCGCATCTGCCCAGTCCAGTGGCCTGAAACCTTCAGAATCGGGTACCTCAACAAAGCGGCACACAATGCCGGGCTACTAGGCAGCCTCTCTGCTAAGCCAGGCCGGGCAGCCGTAGGATCTGCTCGGTGGGTCAGCAGCAGCTCCAAGACGGCCGCGTGCCTAAGACATTGCTCCAAAGGCACCGAAGATCACCGAAGCATATCTTGCACCGAGCACGGGGGGGGGGGGGGGAGATTGTCTGCTTCAAGGGTGCCCAAGCCGCGCGGCCACCTGCAAAGCAGGCTCCAGGGTGTTCACCTCGCCAAGATCCAGGAGGACCCTGGCTGCAGCTGCATGACCACGAGCCGCAGCGGCTGCCAGCGGGTCCGCATCCCTGAAAAGGAAGGCTGAGGTTGAAGGGTTTCTGGACGCTTAGCACCGAGCACCGTTGTTAGAACAACTCAGCGGGGTCTTGCTATGACGCGCGTGGACCGACGGGGCGCCTGCTTGGCACCTGGAGACTCGCTCGGCTGGCCACAAGGAGCCTCAACTAGAAGCTCATCCATGGGGGCAAGACAACTCGAGAAACACAGGGCAATCACAACTGCATCCAAATATCTTGAGAAGCTCAAGATTGCCTGCGGCGGCCGCAGCAGACAGCGGCATCTCACCGTGCTTGTTGACGGCGCTCACATCCGCGCGGGCCGAAATCAGGCATCTTGTCAAGGCCACCTGGGCCGAAACTCTCCACGGCCTTATGACGAGTAGGACACCCACTTGAGCTCTACATCTCTCGGCAAAGGCACAGCATGTCGCCGGCTTCTGGCGGCAAGATGAAGCGGCCTGGCAGTCTTCGCAGAGAGACCGCATGCACGACCCTTTGCGGGGAAATGCGCAGGAACGTCTCGGTCTCGGAAGGGGAGCGCAACGTGATCGGATGTGGAATGGATTGCTGAAGACCGGAGGTCTGCATTGTAGCCATGCCGAGTGCTCTCAAATGCGGCCTGCTGCCGTCCTCATCTTCCAAAGACGGATGGGCGCCACTCTGCAGAAGAGCGTTGACAACCGACACGTGGCCTGGAGGAAACCCCCCCTCAACTCAGACAGAGCAGCGTGAGAGGCACCCCCCAAAAACCTGACAGAACACTTCGCCCAGACCCTCAACCATCCAACAGAAATCCTATAGAAAGACCCGCGCAAACCCCAGAAAATCCTAGAAAAGCCCGAGAAACCCCCAGAATCCCCCAAACATCCTCGAACCCTTCGGTGGAGGGCCTGCCAGGATGGCACTGTGGAGCGGGGTCCGGCTCTGGGCGTCCTGAGAATCCGGATCTGCATCGAAGGCGAGCAACAGCCGGGCCAAGGTCTCCTGATCTAAAAATTCGGAAGAAGAGGCCTTTTGGGGTTTAGGGCTTAGAGGGTTTAGGGTTTAGGGTTTTTTTTTTGAAGGCCCTTTTCTAACTGCAGGGGGTTTAGGGTTTTGGGTTTGTGGCTTGCCAGGCTTCAGGGCTCAGCTCTTTTGGGGATATGGAGGGTTCTGGGCGTCAGTTTCGGGTTCAGGGTACCACGGTGTTCGGGCTTAGGGCTCGGGGTCTTAGGGTGCCCAGCTGCGCGCACCTGTCCCCCTGAAGCTGCCAAGTGTAGGGGCGAGCGCCTGGCAAAACTGCGGCCCGGTCTTAGAAAAAAGCCAGCATGCAAGAACACCTAGTACCTCTAATGAGGCTCCGAAGTACTAAATTTAGTCCAATATAGTATATGATCTTTATTATGATATGCACTCCGCTGGCAGCCTCAGCAGGTCCTTCTGCGACAAGTCACCACGCCAGTCAAGAAGTTGTCCTGCGAAACAACATTTTTTCGCAGCACTTGTCCATGCTCTTTCCGGCTTGAGACAGCCCTAAACCCACTCGCTGAGCGAGCGGCGCATTCCGGCCACATCGCCCTCCCTCACAGCCACGAGCAGGTCGGCGGGCACTCCTCGCCTCAGAACACAAGGCATGGTGCACATCTATAGCAACAGCAATAACAGTAATCGCATTAGTAATAATAATCATCATAATAATAATAATAATGATAGCAATAACTGCTTCAGCCACTGTCCTGTTACTGTTTCGAGGCCCTAAGGTCTGAGCGCAGGTAGCCAGAGAGCGCAGCAAAGAGCCAGGCTTGACGCCATCCGCTGGAAAGGCGCCGCGAAAGGAACTTCGTGTGGGCTTGTCAACCTGTGCGTAGCCTTCAGGTGGCACTAAGAAACCCACACATGCAAAAGGACCGCCATGAAGCAACTGCAAGGAACCGATGCATGAATGGCATCTGCTTTTGTTTTGAAGCGGGGCCATCCTTGGTCACCGGTTCCTTCAAAGTGAAAACTTGGGGAGGCTGCACGAAAGCTGGTTCCTACAGCTAGGGTTGCTGTCTTTCTTCTGTTTGACACGCGGAGCGGCTAGTGATTCGTAGGATGCTGCGGCTCACTCAGGTGCCGCCAAACTTCACCCAAGTCCCGCAACTGCATCATGGGCACTGGGCCCGTCCGAGCTTGGGACAATGGATGAGCTGCTGCGAGTGGCTTTGCAGAAGCACCTGGAGATCCGGCAGCTGAGGAAGTGACTCTACTCTACACACGATCTTGTCGCCGAGATGGAGACTGAGGCTGGGATGGGATGGGCTCTCGTTGGCTGCCTCTCCCTTCCAACAGATCACACCAGGCTCAGCTTTCGGCAAGGAGAAACTCCACGTGCTCCTTCACCTATGGAGACCCCATGAGGATGGAAGGCGAATCAGCTCGTCTTCCGGATCGGATCAATATCAAACCCTCACCACCGCTGTCATTTGAGCTCTTAAGGCTGGAACCATTTGAACCATCTGCGGGCCTGGGGCGGGCAGGGCCCAAAAAGCAGTGAGGAGATCCTTCTAGGGCAAGCTCTGGGCGACTGGCCAGAAGCGTTCTCGTGCAAGTGTGCGAAGCCTTGGACCTGATGCTTCCCACAAAACTTCCCATGGCTTTAGGGGTTAGGGTTTAGGGTTTAGGACTTCAAATCTTTCAGGGCAGCTTCCAGGGGGTTTCCATGGCATGGGCCTTGCGTAGGCCGGCAAGTGCTAGATCTAAGGGGCCAGCAAGCAGCAGAAGGAAGGAGCCGTCCAAGTGTCGACTCAGCCGCCAGAGCCGGTCGTCCACCAGCTCAGACCTGCAGAGTGGCTTGGGAGGGGAGCGGTTCAGAAATGCCGGGTTTTGGATGTGTCCCTGTGCTCTCTGACTCTGTGGCCCGAGGTCGCTGCCCCTGGCTCTTCAGGTGTCGCATGTGTTCCATCTTCAGCGCCCAAACCTCGAGCTCGCCAACCCAACCCCAAATCCCTTACCTTGAACCCAAAATTCACCCAGATGCGAAGAATGCGAGCCCCCCGGCGGCTCCGAGCGGTTCCACCAAAAGGCCGCCCAGCTGGTGGAACTCGCGTCTGGACGACAGCAGCCTCGCGGCTCAGCACAGGCTCGGCAACCCCGGACAGCCCTAAGCCCTAAACCCTAAACCCCTAAACCCTATCACCCTGCAAGATCCCATCGCTGAAGCAGGAGTGCTTCCTTGGGGCGTTATACAAGCCCGATTACTGCCAACCTCCAGTCTTCAAAGTATCTGCTATCTACAGGCTACCTGGAAGAAAGCTGCATCTGTCAGATCTGCCGCCGCATTTCTCACTATGCCTAGCAGCTAGCAATCGCAGCTCGTGAACAGTGAGTCCCTGCCTTTTGGAGCTCTGCTCTTTGAGCACCTGCCAGTTTGAAATCCTCTGGTGCGGTTTGTGCGCTCTCTTTCGAAGTCCCTCACGGCATCGGATTTGTGGCACAGGCAAGCCGGAGTCCTTCGAACGCTACGCTTCTGGCTCCCTGAATGCTTGCCCACCCGACAGACCCGGCCCTACAGCAACTAGGCCATGGCCTGATGCAGCACCAACACGACGGCCAGGGCCTTTTGGTAGGAAGGAAGAGACACAAGAAACGCCAGAAAGCTCAGGGGCAACACGCAGCCGAGCGCTCGGCTGCCTCGCTAAAGCCCCTCTCTCGCAGGCCCTGCGGCACCAAGGGAACAGAAGAATGCCACGCTCCACGAATAATAGAGTAGATGGCCCTTCTGGTACCCTTAACAGTAGCCTTCTAATTCCCCTGCCGAATAACCCTTTCATGCTTTAACCCTTGCAGTACAAGTACCCGTGAAGGAAGTCTTGAACCCCAAGAAGAGCGTCGGACTGGGAACCCCCCTCCTGCAGCTCAGCTAGCAGAAGATGAGCCAAGCCATCCTCAAGGAAGGGTTGAGAGTTTCGGGTTTAGGGTTTAGGGTTTAGGGATCTCACTGGAGTGCCCTGTTCGGTAGAAATCGTCCGGGCTGAATTCCTGACTGCCGAGGCCGAAGCCCAATTCATGGGAAACTCAAAGCGGCATACTCGCCGCAGGACCTTGGTCTTACGCATGGACATCTGCAGCTTCTAGACCCCCTCTTCAATGAAGAGTGTCAGGCAACGCCAAAATGCAACTCTGACCCATTTGTTGCTGGGCTGCCATCGTCAACTCTTGAATGTGAGGCAGCCCTCCGTCAGTTGCAGCCTCGCGGGGCCGCGCGGCGGCCATGCAAGCCGGGCATGACTCGCACTGGAATCCTTCTCAAAGCATCCGGCCTTCACAAGACGGAGCAAGTGCTCTTTGATGGCCTTTCCAAACTCTCCAGGTCAGACAGATGAAGAGCTTTAGCATCTGTGGGCTCGGCGTTCTTCTCCTCTGCCGAGAGGACCTTGCTTGAGCCTAGGTGGACGGAAGCTTCGCAAAGAGCGTCATATGAGCGCCCCAGCGCACGAGGAGAGCCAGTACGTCGCTCTTTCCAAGCTCTGATCAAACATCGACATCCATCAAGCAAAAATGGATCCATGACACCGCAGATCTGTTCACTGCAGTGTGTTGCATAGTAGCACCCAGACAGCCTGACAGCCTTTCAAGATTCGCAAACTCTGCCTTAAAGATTTTCACGAACTCGATGGAGACATAAATCGCCAGCCACTCAATCATGGACTCGCAAAAGTCAAGAATCCGTGTAGACCCAGGGAAGTTAACGATCCTTACCATATCTTACCATGCAGGGTAAATGTCCAGAAACATGTGGTCCTGTTGCTGTGGCTTCTCCTTTGAGTCATGGGGGCAGGCGCCCCTTGCTCGTGCAACCTGCGTCCAACACATAGCAGGGATGGATAAAAGGGTCTTCCATGAAAGGCCCACGCATGGTAACGCAGCCCACCCATGAGGAGGATGAACTCTCCCCGGGATAGTGGACCCGCGGGACGAAAAAAGTATCTCCTCGGGAATAAGTTGAGCTGCTCCGTTTACCCAGATTACTCTGCGGATCTACGTCGCCAGAGCCTCAGCGCTACCAAAACCCTCCAGCTTTAAGTGTCTTGCTTCTTCGGACATCGGAACTGTTGCGATCCTTCAGACGAGAGCTAGAGATGTACTGCCCAGAAGAAGACATAACCGAACCAAGCAAAACACACCCTTATCATGCTCGTAGTTTCGCGAGGTTTCTGCATGGCCCCTTTGCCGTAAATCCGCTGCTGTGCCATGCAAAGCCATGAACTGCACGAATTACACGAATGCACCCCGAGTTTCCACTCAAAGGCATTGAAACACTGGACGGACCCACAAGGTATAGGGACTGGACTTTAAGATGCCTTGGTCAAGTCGAACCGTGACACGGCCATACTTCGGCAGTTTCGTGCCCGGCAGGACTTGGCACAAGCGTTTCACCTCAAAGCCACCTCACCTCGCGAGCCGTCTCATGAGTTGCTCCTGGGACGGTGCATGTTGTATGTCGTGAGCTGCGAGGCCTCGAGGATGAACCTGGCACATCCGAAAGCTGAAGATGGTTTCGGGTCGCAGATTTGGGGCCATTTAGGGGTTAAAGTCTGGGAGCAAGCTCCTTCCCTTAATCGTCACGGAGGGCCTCGAGGAATGCTGATCCATCTCAACGCAGGCAATCTGCAGCTTGCCTTGCAGGGATTCCGACACACGGAAGTTCAGGCTGACGGCCCACGGCTTGCATGCCCCTGAAAGCTGGGCACCGGCATTGAGACGATGCCAATCTCCCAAAAAAGGTAGCACGAGAGGGATGGCAGTGCTGTCCGGGGTGTAGCTGTCCTCCAGAAACCGCCAGAACAGGCCAACTACCCTCCTGGAGGCGATGCAGCAATGCCTAAGGCTAAAGAGGCTAAATGGATGCTGTCCAAGTGGATGGCGCGGTTGACTTCGGGCTCGAACCAGCTGCGAAACTCTTCCCAGTCCTCAGCAGAGAAGTGGTATGACGAGCCGTGCAGCATCTGCCTGCAGAGACGCCAAGTTACACTCTCCGACGGGAGGAAACTGTCCAGAGGGGTTTGCCCGTCCATGCAGAGCTTCACCTGGAAGGCAACGAAGCCGAGTCGACGACCGATGCCAAGCAAAAGGCTTTCCCTCGTTCCTAGCATGATCTTCCCTTGTGAACGCATTACCCGCAAGATGATTCGAAGATCAAGAAAGCGAGGGGATCACAGGGACACACGTAGGCCATAATAAAGTGCCTATCAAGTGCTGGTTGAACTTTGAACATCCCACACTACGCGACCCGAATACAGAGCCTGGCATAATCCGATCCTTCCAAACGCGGCGAGTCTACTTCGGTCACGGGCATGCCATTGCCCTCCAAGTCCACAGTCAGCTGCAGCGAGAGCTCCTCCTTGAGGCAGCCATGGGTGTTCTAGTGATACTGCTCCTTCGGGCTCCATCATCTTAAAAACCCCGCAAGCACTGAGCCACAAACCCCAAAGCCAAAAAAAGCCCTGAATCACTGAACACCCAACCCAGGAAGCCCCGAAGAAAGCCCCCAATACCCCAAGCCAACAAGATCCTGACGCCTTCTTCCCAAGGCTCTGGGAGGCACTCCCAACGTCCGGGCTCCCAGGAAGTGCCCGACCCTACGGTCGTCGAGGATTCAGGGGAGCCTGCGCAGAAGTTTGCGAAGACGTGATTACGAAGGAAACGGCGGCGCACAGGCGCAAAGAATGAAGAACTCCAAGAGCACGTTTAGGTCTTGGGTTTTACGAGGTTTTAGGGATTTTAGGGCTTCAGGGGCTTCGGATACCGAATTTCAATGGTTTCTGAGGGTGCCTTCACGATGATCATGGCCTGGTACAGTCATGTCCTGAGAGGTGCGTGCAGAGACAAGCACTCAACTCAACGTGTCAGTTCCACCCTCCGTCCACGATCCTTATCCACCCTCTTTCTTCTTCTTCTTCTTGCAGGCCACGACGCCGGGGAGGAAGCGTTGCTACCATGCATGCTTACCACGCCTGTACTCACAGTGACACGACTTTCGACCCTGACTTGACAAGGACCATGGACTTACAACACCCACTTTTCTTGCCGAGGGCCACTACCCTGACCTGAAACTCCAAACCCACATTGGAATCTTTGGTGCGTTTGCGCAGCGCTTGCTTGCTTTACTCGAGCAAAGACGACCAAAGAGATTGTGATCTGTGTCACTTCTGCAACTTAAACTTTAAACATCTCGAAGCCTAGAGACCCTCAAGCCGACTGGTCGAGTCAGGATGTGTCTGCATGTTGGTGCCCAAAACCGCTGGATAAACGTGACCCGAATGTGGGGGACTCAGGAATATGGGGAGAGCGCGAAAAGCAGAACAGGTCCAACAGGAAGAGGCGAAGTCGACAGTTCAAGGCCACGTCCCCGGGACATGCACGAAGTTAACACACCAAGTCAGGCCCGATACTGCCGCGACGTTTAGCAAGACGAACATCTGCATGGGCAACCACACACACTTTCTCAATTTTCAGGTGCACTCATGCTTGGCAACATGAAACAAGATGATGTTGATGATGGCAATGAAAACGAGAATGAAATGATATATTGGTACCATGTATGCCAGACCGAAGGCATGGACTACAAAACAGACCCAGATGGATGAGATGATCCGTAAGTGGATTCGGCTCCTGGCTACGCCAGATTCATGACAGATGGCAAACAAGAAGTAACGGGGCGTGACCCCCCGTAGCCCATGAACTAGGACAGC